TAATACAAACACCTTGATATCTACCACGGTCATGCTTAGCACTCGGACTGGCACGTTGCTCACGTCTCTTTCTAATCCTTTTCTCTATACGCTTCTTCTAAGCTTGCATATTTTCATCGGCGACCCATTTAGAAAAGCTCAACTATACATATGTAAAAAGGTTTCAATAAGAATGCATAACGAACTAAATTATTAGCACAAACACAATTAATAAATAAATAAATAATAACGTTTGTACCTCCCATATGCTATCAAGAATTAATAACATATTCATTAACATCCTTCAGTGAACCATTGTGCTGATTTGAACACTCTGACTCATTAGGCCTTTCTTTACAAGGACAAAATCACGAAAGACAAAATAAAGCAAAGAGCTCACCTTGCAAAATTAGGAAATGGAAGCTTTCAATTGGAAGAAGAAGTTGGCCCTGAGACAATGGTCCACATAAATGGAGGCAAAAGTTCATGTAAAGAACACAAATCAAAGCATGCACCACATAAATAGAGAATCATCTGAAACTCAAATCACTGGAATAAAACAGGAGATCTTATTACCCTTTGCTAACTTGGAAATCTGAAATCAAAACATCAAATCACCAAATAAAGGCGAGTAAGAAAACAGAACTTAAAAAATAAAAAACAGAATGAAATATGAACACAGAGCAGAAATTAGCTGTTACGGAACATTTATAACCAAGAAGTGACCAGCCCTATTCAATACCATCATCATCCTAATTCCCAAGTTATACATTGGCATGAGGAGGTGCATTTTGTAACTATGATTGTATTGCTTTTGACTCTAAAGACAGTAAATGTTCCAACTTGTCCAAGGCTACAAAAATATGTTAATGATGGTAAACTTGGCTTAAAACAAATAAGTTCCCTCTAATATGAGTTCTCTCTATCTTGGTTCTAAACGTGGTAAACTTGGTTTAAAACAAATAAGCTCTCTCTATCTGCAATCCTTAGAACACCTAGTATAAGTATGCAACATTTTAACTTAATTAAATTTAGAAAACTGAATCTGGCTTTAAGGCATTTTACAAATAGGTTTTGGGCACTAATTAGGATGGAGAAAAATACTACAAAGAGTAAACAGAGCAGAAATTAGCTGTTATTGAACATTTATAACCAAGAGGCGACAATCGCAACTGTATTTGATTGAATTCAAGTTTTCATCCATTCACAATATCCATCATTTTCCATGGTTAATGATTCTAGAGAATGAAATGTCTGAAATGAGAATGAGTTCTTCAATTGTTTAAGTTGCTCCTGAGATGAGAGTGTGTTCTATGTTTGTTTCATGGATACCCAATTAATTGGAGAACAAGATCAGATAACCCAAAAAATGAAGAAACTTCACCGTGCTTTTCGGATGAAGAAATTTAGCCACCACAATAGTGGTGGCGAACTCTGCTCAGCAAACAATAGCTCATCCCTATTCCTCGAACAAGACCCTGCCTCTCATTTTTTTCTCTTTTTTTTTTTGTTAATTTGGTTTGAAGAGACAAAATATGCAAGGGAAAAAGAAATCACGCAAAAGTGGGGACATCCAATTATTTTAAATTCAAGAGTTAGCTACTTGCATGAAATTATTATTCTCAATTCAAGAGTTAGCTACTTGCGTGAAATTTCATAAGTGACTTGGGACAAAAACTGACTTCCTTTCCTTGAGAAAAAAAAAAAAGAGAACCAAAAATTATACATTTAAACCATCAATCATGCTGAACGCTTTTCTGAAGTGGCCTGAATTTAACATCAAAGAATCTTTGGAACTAATTTCACTACCATGGCATATTTCGTCAGCCTAAGCTTGCTCAGACTCAAAAAAAAAAGTATAGCTAATTGTCTAAAAAAAACACATCATCTTTTCTTAGCTTTGCATTGCATAAATTCAGGGCTAACAAGTTCATATTGTTAGACCACCATTCATTTATTGAAGTTAGGAATAACACCTACACCAACTGTAATAACCTCTCAATGTGTTTAGAAAATCACCTATACTTTTCTTGTTACTTGGTTTTGGATAGAAAAGTTAGTTGTAATGCCTCTGAAATACAAATACCTTACTGTAATTAGTTTATAATAGTTTGTCTCTTGACAACCTAATTAAACTCATTCAAAAAAAAAATTGAACTTGCAAATTTGATGTTCAACACCTTTTAATTTGATTAGTTTCCTGCGTAATTTCTAATGTTTTAAATCTCAAATATAGAAAATGAATTGGATATATTTATAGGCTAGATTACAAACTACATTAGCTAAACCCACAAAGTAAAATAGGAAAAAGATAAAACACACATACACACACACACAAACACAAAGTGAAACAGAAAGTATGAAATGCCTGGCCATGTCTTGCACAAGGAAAATTAAAGAAAGAAAAAGAGAAAAATAGCATCCAATTGGCCTTCCATATATTCCTTTCTGTTCTGTAGCTTTTCTGTTTCTTTTTGGAAACTTATTAGTTTATAATGGATTAAACTATACAGATATTATAATAAGAGAAGGTTATAGGAACTGCAAAACCAGTTAGGTGCTGTTTACGAGAAGAAAAATCAATTGCTCCAATACATTATAAATGAGTTGTTAAAAAATGACAAATTAATGCTCCACCAGTTTTGATATCAAAGAAGTTGTTGCTCAATATAAAAATCTACATCTGGCTACGTCAATTTTGCAACATTTTGCCAACTTGTTACAAAAGATTTGAAAGGTATTTTATCTTCAACAGAATCTAAAACCAAATGAATATTTCGAAGTGGTTAAACAAAATGCTCATGGGTTTGGTTGCCAATTCATGTACTAATCACAAATGAAGAACTACTTGGTTTCTATCCAAGTGGACATTTTCATTGGCTTCGGTATTAAGCATCGAAAGTCTCTTACTTATTTTCTTTATTCATAACCGTTGACAATGACACCAGTTTTTTTGCTCTGCAATTTTCAAATTTACGTGAACCATATAATGTACCATGTAAACACAGGAAGGGAACCATAATATCATAACAAATTACAAAAAACAAAAGAACAAGCAAATGTCATATCACAATCGAAACATGCATTGATGAAATTACATTAAACCAATCCAAAACATCAAACAATTTTCTGAAACAGAGAAAAACTAACACACAATGATTGTAGATGTTAAATGAGGACATATAGCGAATATATGGTGTGCACGTCAAATAAGTTTGAATGACCTGTCTAAAAATACAGCCCTTAATCATAAAACAAAAGACATCAGCACAACAAACAAATCACATCAATGCGACCTTCAATTATGATCAGCAAATTGATAAACTCAAAACCGATAAGCTAACAGAAATCCTTACTATACTAAAAGCGAGAGTTAGGTTGTTACAGTGAAAATGGAAATCCTTACTAAATCCTCCGTGCTCTTCGGACTCCCTTTTTTGTGGCTTTGCTATTACTTTCCCTTTCTTCTCTATTTCTTGTTTGCTTGTAATGGGATGGACTTAGAAAACTTGTATGCGTCTTTAGTGATGTGCATCAAGGCCATGAAGACAGCTGATCACAACAAACGCACCGCCCACAACAAAGCCACGAGGATAGCATCAATTTCCAGCAAAGCCACTACCACTGAATGCCAAAAGACCAAACCGCCCCTCAAACTCACACAAATTGCACTATAACCAGCCCAATTTCACTGTAGCAATCCGAACTCCCACTTTTAGTATAGTAAAGATTTGTGGATTGAAAATCTCTGTAATATTGAATTAGAAATGGGAAGGTCGAAATCTTGATGGCTAATCGGTTCAACCATTTGAATTTTATTGGTATTTTGACCAATCGAACCCGTCTCCGGTTGAGTATGAAAGAATTTTTTTAAAAAATCTTTTCTATGTTTTGATACACAATGAATTGATGTCATTATGTCCCGTTCTTAATTCAACCGATCAAATTGACCAGAACAGTGATTTTAAGAGGAGTAGCCTGCAAGTGTCCCACCAAAAAGATAAAAACCGAATGACTCGATACTTTTCTGAAATTTTTTTTAAAAAAGGTAATCTTAATAGTGTCAAGAATCAAAATATCTTTGCAAGTATTATCATGCATTAGTTCTGTGAAAAAGCTCACATATATTCCCATGTGGCTCCAACAGCAAGATGAATCCTCAGCAATGTAACTTTATTACGAAGTTTGTCTTTCTTTAAAAAATTAAAAATAATTTTTTTTTCTTTTAATGATGGAGAACGTAGAGCATGTTTTAATATGAGTGAATTTGGTCCAATAATCTTAGATAAGACTGCCAAAGTCAAGTGCGACATATCAATTTAGAACTGGAAATAATCACATACTCTATTTAGTTTTAAGAATATATTTTAAATACATTTTAGGTGAAATGACAACTATATATGCAGGAGATATATTAAATATGTGTGTGCATTTACATGTTAAATTAGGTGTAGTTTACATATATTAAAATTTACCCGAAAGTATCCATTAGAAAAATTCTTATGCTATGTAATTTTTAAAAATATAAAAAATTCAAACAAGTGGACAAGTAGACAAATTCTACCTAAGTATTTTTTTTTTTTTTTACCAAGCAAGTTAAGACTTTTGTGGTAATAAACTAACCCGAATCCCGTGAGAACCCCAAAAGAATTTTTTTTTTTACCTAAGTATTTTTTAGAAAAGAGAGAATTCGATCAAGATGGTCATGTCTTAAAACCAGTATCTAAACATTTGTTTACTCTCCTTTCCCACTTCCTTGACTGTGGAATAGTCATTCAGTAAGCATTAAGACTATTCAATGCAGCGACATTAATTTAACAAATAGCCCACACGCCACCTCGGGAGTCAATACAGATAACGATGTTTTTTTTTTTTTTTTGGCCAAAAAGTCATCACTGACCAACTGTTCTTCAATTCCCTGCAATTCAAAGTCCAGACAGTCTACTGTCTAGTCAATAAATTCTGCCCATTGAGATTTCTGCTATAAATAAGAAGGTTTTTGCAGCACATTGTTTAAATTAGAAGAAGCAAAGTGAAAGGAAGCGGTAAGACCTCATCTCCTACTTATCAAAGATTAAGAAGCAGCAATGAAAGGGGAGATGGATGGCTCTTTTCGGAGCGGCAGATTCCTTTACTGGTGGGAACAGATAGTGAAGCAATGGAGAGACTGACCGTCCCTCTAAAGCTTATCAACCATCCTTCTTTAGCTTATTTACTTGATGAATCTGCAAACGAACTTGGTTATAATCAACAGGGATTGCTCAGAATTTGGTGTGATGTTGGAAGATTCCAGGAAATGCTTGATCGAATATCAACAAGGCTGTAGGGTTTGTACATGAGATCCCTATCAGTGTATGTAAACTCAATAGATGAAGTACAAGTTTTCATAGAAGTTTCTTCTAGCTGGACTGTCATGCATTGATTCCATTCTTGATTTGGTGAATCCCTTTTTCTAAATTCTGAAAATTTGCTGTCCAAATTGTTTATGGAAAGGGTTTTTCTCAAATTTCTTTCTTTTCTATGTAAATTAGTTCAATTTCAGACTGATTCTTCCAGATATCCCTCGTTGAGTAAGAAGAGACACAGATTCATAGGCGCTGTTTCGAGATTAAAGACGCTTCTTTTTCGCCATAACCAATAACATAAGGAAAACTGATTAATCTGTTATATTTCCTTAGGTGAATGCTTCTGAGACTACTTTGAATAAAGGCCAATTTTCCTAAAACATGATGAGGATTTCCATGAAGATTGAAGGATAATTGTGTGCTAACCAGATATGTTATTCTTTTCTCCCGAAACAAAAAACTAATGATTGCATGACCAAATGTATTCATCTGAGTGCTCATTAGATATTATTTGACATAAACATTTACTCAGAAGATGAACTGTTTATCATTCAGACAAGATGTATTAGTATCATTTTCAGACAATATTAATGTATTTTATTTATTTATTTGACATCAAATATTATTGAGAGCAAACCACAGAAATAACCCACAAGTACAAGAACTTCTAATAACCAATACAACCAAATAACCAAGAACCTAACTTTACTGAAAATACTCAAAACTAGAGCTCAACCAACCCAATTTTTTTTTTTTTTTTTAAAACCAACCTAACTTGGAAACACTAACAACTACGTACAGCAAGCTTAGCTACTAACAAAATAATTTCAGTAACAATCTTCTAATTTAAGTCCAATTAATATTGATCTTCTAGTTCCTCTTAGACTTGTCCACTCTTTTAACCTACATAAGGGAGCATTTTGCATTATGAAAAGAGATGGCAAATGGGCGGAATTGGTAAGATTTTGCACGGGACTTAATTGGAACTGCCAAATATGGGCTATATACCCAAGTAGTCCCATATTAGTCATGGGACCAATATGGGTGGGGCTAAAACGGGTTAGACCCATTTAATACCACCCAAATACCTAATAAATTCCATCATTTAGTTAGTTTGTTTAATTTTGTAAAACTTTCTACCATCAAAGTCATGCATTCTCTTGAAATGTTTGATGATTCAGTAATATGCCTCATCAAATTTCTACTTTCTTTGACTAAATGCTGCCTATGTTTCCTCCAGTAGATGATCTTATATATATACATACATACATATATATATATATATATATATATATATATATATATATATATGCGTGTGTGTAGTAGCTTAGACGGTTATTCAATGAAATTTGTGGTTAAGAGGAAGCTGTCGTTTAGTGCTGATCATTTGCTATTTCATCAGCTTGATGTGGCAGATTCGTCTAGTGTTGCTTCCCTTGCTGAATTCATCAAGACTCAGTTTGGAAGGCTTGATATCTTGGTATGACAGAGCAACTCCAATTCCAATATCTGACTTATTGATTTTCTGTAAAACCAGATTCCCCTTCGGTGACAAGATGGGCATAAGGAGATAATTCACCCAATGCCAAATTCAGTGTCTTGTAAATTGTAACCACTCATGCATGTCTTTTGTTTTATCGATCAGGTGAATAATGCAGGAATTACTGGAGCTGATATAGACTCTGATGCTTTTAAAGCTGCGGTTGGAGCTGGTGCTATTGAAGAGGTAAATTTGGATTTTACCTTAAAAATCATCTAGATTCTGGTCCTCTTTCAATTTGCCAAAATCTCCTGCTTTTTCCTTCTTCTGGAGATCATGTTCTTTATCCTGTTCTTTTCCTGTCTCATCCATGGTTCGAAGTCTCGGCCGAGACCGAGACGATTCGGCCGAGTCGTCACCGTCTCGGCTCCTACCGATACGATACCGTGATGAAACGATACCGAAATACTTGACTCGCCGAGAAATCGGCCGAGTCGTCACCGCGACGGATTGACTCGGCCGAGTCACACCGAGTCACTCCGAGTTATCCCGAGTCAAGACGAGAAATCAGCCGAGTCACACAGCGACGGATTGACTTGGCTGTTTCTTTTGCTATTTTTTTAATTATTTTTATTTAGCATACTTTTTTATATTATTAAGAATTTTTAGAATATTAAATACTTTAAAATTTGCGTCTCACCGAGACCGCGACCGATATGCCGAGACCGATGTGGAACGTTCCGGGCCGCGACCGCGACCGCAACCGTGACTTTGAACCATGGTCTCATCTTGCTAGTTAAGATTCTCCGGAATTAGTTGCAAAATATGGTTTTTATAGGTTTCAATGTGTCATACACCTGCCCTTTTATTGGTGTCCTTTTAATACATGAACATTTTCCTTCGTTTTGCCCAATGCAGGCACAAGCTAAAGTTGACTGGAGCAGTACGATCAAAGAGGCTTACGAATTGGCAGAGCAGTACGATCAAAGAGACTTACGAATTGGCAGTACAATGCTTTCAAACAAACTATTATGGTGCCAAAAGAATGATTGAAGCCATTGTTCCTCTTCTCCAATTATCTCAATCACCAAGAGTTGTCAACGTTTCCTCAGGCGCGGGAAAGCTAAAGGTAAATCAGCTTGTAATTGTATTTCTTCGAGTGTGTAGATTCTACATTGTTGTGCAGGATAGTAAACTTGGCACAAACTTAAAAGAACCAACAATGGCCCTGGACTTAATTCTGGCTCCACGCATCGAGTTCTCTGATGACCTCAGGATTTTAACTCTGTTCTGAAGCCACCCTGATTCCCGATTTAAAATCTCTTATCTTCCAGACTTTGATAAACCACAGATAGTGGGATTTGACAATCCACAGGAAATTCCAATTTACGAAAACATTGAGCAAATGGACATCTAGAAGTCACGTTAGCTAGTGATTTCTATTTTGGGTTGACAAGTTACTCAATGAAGTATCCATTTCATAGGGAAAACTGTAAATCCCATAAACAGCTTACATAAAGTTTTCTCAATTTGCTTCAGAATATACCCAGTGAATGGGCCAGAGGGATATTTACTGATGTCGACAACCTTACAGAAGAGAGAGTGGATGAGGTGGTCAATCAATACCTGAAAGACTTAAAAGAAGGTTCCAAAGAAGCCAAAGGCTGGCCTTCATTCCTGTCTGCTTATACAGTCTCGAAAGCAGCCATGAATGCATACACAATTGTTGTCGCAAAGATGCATCCCTGCATCAAGATCAATAGTGTCTGTCCTGGTTTTTTCAAAACAGATATAAACTTCGAATCTGGCATATTGACTGTAGAAGAAGGTGCTGAAAGTGTTGTGAGGCTAGCTCTGCTGCCTGATGATGGTCCTTCTGGCTTGTTCTTCACCTCTTGAATAGAGATAATCCTTCTCGGACAATGCTTTAGTAATGATAGTTATGGTAACGAAATAATTTTTTACCTGATATAATAGATTATTGCACTTTTAGCGACCATTTGATTACTTGATGGACCTATTCACCTAAATAGGATAACACTTAAAAATAAAAAAGTAAGTTAGCCATAATAAATTAGTAACTTTTATACTTTAAAAGGTAAATTGGAATAAATATTAAATTTACTTTTTAAATAAATAAATTACTACTTTATATCACAAACTTACTTTTTAGAGAGTAAGTTTAATTCAAATAATAATAAATTTTTATACATAAATAGTAATTCTTACTGATAACACGATAAATTTGATTAATAATCAAAACTTACTGATTTATGGGACACATGTACTATTTTACTTTAAAACATATTTCAAACTAGTATTAAGAAATTTATTTGAAATAATGATAAGATGTTTTATTAATGATTAATGCTTAGTACCTTAGTTAGTAAGTACTCGTAATATACCTGCATAAGACATGATTATATGTATAATTTAAAAAATTTTGTATTTATATATTTTAAAATAATATGAAAAATAGTTTGGCTTTTCACATAATCTCGTAAATATGTAATAAAATTTTGTCGTATTATAAGTTTTTAATCATTTTCAATTTTTGAAAAGTTTGAAAGTTTGGATAACAATAACGACAAATCTTCTTAGTTATATATAGAATATCACTTGTTTATATATCATAATTTTTATAATTTATTGCCTATGAATATAATAAGATGACAAAGTTTTAATAAATTTACATCTAGGACACAAGAAATAATAAGAGTTAAAATCCAAACAAAATGAGAAATAATATAACAATAAAAATGACAAAATTCATATAACAATTAATATAAGAAAATGAGTATGATCTGGACTTTTTTCCTTGGGAGATTGTTCATAAAAATGGGATCCAACAATTATAAATGAAAATCACATGCATATATAATCTATTGTATAATTTAAATTAAATTTAGTTCACGTATAAAATGGTCCTAAAATAATTAGTACACTATGATACAATGTTATTTTAACAACAAATTTTTTTTACTAAGAGTCTCAAATATCAATGACATACGTATGAGGGATATTTTACCATATTTGTATCTCATATCCAATCATTAAAGTTAATTTGAGGAAAAATATTTTTGACAATAGAATTATTTTGAATTTAGTTAACAATTTGAGATTTTATAAACAATAAAAGTGAAATATTTGGGAACTCAGTTGTTTATTTTCCCATAATTAAAAATTGCTATATTTTAGCAATTGTTGCCATTGACTTTTCATTCTGTAGACTAATTGTTATCAATGCAAAATTAGTTTTATGAACAATAATTGAAGTTCCATTGATCCGAGGATTGGCATTCTATTGCTATTATTTTATATGTAAATATTTAACCTAAGTATTAAAATAAATAATAGCTGTAGACACCAAATTTTGATCAATTTCATTTACTTTTAGTCTTTTATTTTTAAGTCATTTTATCATTTAATTAAACTTTAATCATTTAATCATTTAATTTTTATTTTTGTTTGTTTCGATTCTAGGTTTTTATTTTATTTTGATTTTTTGTTTTGATTCGTGTCTCTTGTCTTGCTTTAATTGAATTAAGAGTTTTTGCACTAAATTTTCGGAAAAAAAGAAAAAAAGAAGAAAAGAAAAAAAAAAGAAAAAAAAGAAAAGTCAATCAAAGGGACAAGAATAAGACACATAAGCCTACTTTGGGGTTTAAAATCTTGGCCTTTCATATTAGGTTTAGTTTTTTGGGGTGCCTTTAAAGATGAAAACAGCCGCAAGCCAAAGGGGGAAACAATTAGAAAGGGCCGAGGGTAGAGAGGAAGGAGGACGGCTAAGGGGGTTTCTTTTTTAAAGGGGAGGCCAACAAAAAAGAGAAGGACGGCGGCTAGGTTGGGGGAGGTCTGAGGGAGCTTCGGTCAAGAAAAAGGCTAAGAAAACAGAGGGGAAAAGGCTTCGGCCAAGAAAAGAACCAGAGAAAGCAAAAGAAAAAGAGAGAGCGAAGGGGTTGAGAGAATAGGGGCGGCGGATGGATTGAAGACTAAAGAGGGCTACGGAAAAAAGAGGGGAGATTGGGGAAGAAAAAGACAGAGAGTAAGAAGAGAGAGAGAGAGGAAGCGGGCGGCGGGGCAAAGGAAAAAAGAAACAAAAATGGAACGGGAAAAAGCCAAGAAAAAGGGGGGACCGGAACAAGAAAAGGGGGCATGAAAGCTTCGGTGAAAAAACAGAGGGAGGCCCTCGGTTGAGGGGAGCGAATGAAAAAACAGAGGAAAAGGGAAGGCTTCAGCGAGGAAAGCCAGCCGCGGCAAGAGACTGAGGAACAAGGGAATCAGCAAGCGGACGCTGTTGCCGCTGCCGCTACCCGAATCTTCCGCCATCACCGACGAACCTTCACTGAGAGAGTACGGTAAGCTGTTTTCTTTCTTTCAATTTCAGTTCTTTTCAAGTTTCTGAAACGGGTCTGTCGTGTTTTTGTTGTTGCGATTTCCCTGTCGATTGTCCATAATTTTCTGATTGTAAATGTCTTTATACGTTGATTGAGCTGAATGTCTTGGTTTCTGATAATCTTTTTGGCTAATTACAACTTCAATTTGAGCAAAGAGCCGGTAAAATTTTAATGTTCCCAATCTGTTCGACGAAATGCCTGAGCTAAAATTTTATTGAAAGATGTTTTGTTTACATTTTCCGTGCGAAGAAGCCGGTTGAGTTAGCCGATTCGTTTCCTTACTCTTAAGAAATTTTGCTGAATTGTTGTCTTCCATTTCTCTGTTTCTCACGTTTCGGGATTGAATGAACTCGAATTGATATTGTATGAGAAGAGTTTTTGGGTGATTTTCGTTTTTGATTGAGAATGGCTAGAATTTTGGTTTTGTTCTGGTTCTAAGAACGACAGAAATGGCGGATTGATGTCTGTGTTATTGGGGGAGAAGACCGTTGGTCTAAAATGTCCATTTCAGTCCCTCTGTTTTCGCTTTGTTTTGCAATTTACCTGAGGGTTGCCGAACTTCATAATTTTACCCCCCAAACTGCTATAATTCATTCAATTGGGTCCCTGCTTTTGTTACATTTGAACCCCTCAAGCTGCCCTTTGTTCTGTCTTGGCCCAGAGAATTAGATAATTTAACCAATTTTGCCCCTTTAAATGTTTTCTTTTTTGATACGAGTTAATGCGATTCTTGGGTAGATTAATTCTGGGATTTAATGCATAATCAAAGCTTAGTAATTTTTTTAGTTGGGTTTTTTATCTTGTTGGGTTTAGTTTTATGGTTTAGGTTGTGGGTCATAACATTTGTTTGGGTTTGTAAAAATGGGGTTTAATTCATTTTTGATTGGGTTTCTGATTTGGGCTTAGGAAGTAACAGCCCACTCTTTTGGTTGGGTTTATTTTGCAAGGTGTAGGCTAGCCTGTTTGTTTTGCTTGGGTCTCGGTTTGGGGCTAAGAGGGGTTTTGGCCCAAGAAATGAATAAAATGGCCCAATGGCTTGGCCTGCCAAGAATCTGGTAACCAAATTTGCAAATCAGCCCTTGAACTTTTCTTTAATTCCTCTATGGTCCTACAAACTTTCAATGCTTTCAATTGGGTCCCTACTTTAATTGCAAATAGGCCCCTAAACTTTATTTTTTTTTAATTTTGACCCCAAAGCTTTGTTAATTTTTGCAATCAAGTCCTTTCTTCTCTTGACTTCTTAAATGTGGGTTGTCAACATGATTTAATTGATTCAATTTCATGTCTATTTTTATCTTTTGTGATTACTTATTAATTAAAGTGGTGCCTTGACCCTTTCTTTGTTTTGGAGGGCAAATATATAATTTCACCTCATTAGGGGTGCCAACTCAAGGGAGGTACACCCTAATTCCTTATTTCTTACTTTATTCGACTCTATGTGCCCTATGTGACTTTATGTACTCAATTGCATGCCATTTGAATGCTTTTATTTTATTTATTCGCTTTATTTGTTTTAATTTAGTATTTTTATTTTACTTTAGTTCAATTTTTGATCATTTGAAAGGCACTTGAATGCCACAATTGTAATAGTTAGATTTATTTTAACTATTTATTTCATTCCATTTCCCCTTTTTAGATTGTAGTAGGCCTTCCCCCCTAAAAATGTAATAGTTAGGGCCTTAATTGCCTTATGTGTTTTGCATGCTTAGGTGCTATGTGTTTAATCGCTTTCTTAAGTTTTGGCATCTAGATATGCATGCTTATGTGTTAAGTGAATTACGTGCTCACATGTCTACTTGCTTTAATTATGTACATTACTTATATATGTGTATGATGGATGCAAAGACACGTAACCGTGGCTAGTCCAATGCTAGTCATGGTTGTCCCCTCGAGCTCTTACAAGTCCAATGCTTGTGAGAGAGCGTAGATGTGGGCTAGTCCAATGCTAGACCCAATAGGGCCGCCCCTTGCTAGTACATACTTGCATGCCCTCAATACATCTTCATTCATTTTTCTCTTTTAGTTTTACATATATGCACGACCCTTTACTCCCTTTCCCTTGCACATTTAGGATTGCATTTCATTCTAGTTATTAAGGTCATTTGCTTGACTAGATTAGGGAATTACCCCTTGGATATGGGATACGGACGAGTTTGGCTTTCTAGCCTTAGCACGCTCGTATTCCCTCTATTAAAGGGAAAATTGAGTCACGGACATTAGTCCTCCGTACCCGTCTTGCTTGCATTCCTCTAGGGTTCATACATTTCATTTATCCACTATCACATGCACTTTTACTTCATATTCTATCGTTTTTTCCACATTTTCACTTCACACAACTTTTATTTTGCACGTTTTCACTCTGCCACTTACACTTTATATACTATCACTTGCACACATGCACTTTATGCTATCACACGCACTTCACACTATCACTTTACATATCTCACATTGCACACTCATTTGCACACTCCCACTTATACACCATTATCTTTTTTTACTTTT